TTTCTAGTGATTCTAGTGTCTGATTATCTTCCATGTGCCACTCAAAAACACCGCTGACGCAGCAATGAATCTTCCATGCCTCATGGCCATCCAAAAGCTTCAGCATGGGTGTGTGACGTGTTGCACAAGGGAGACCGACCCCTGTTGAACCCGAAGGGAAACCGACTAGTCACCGAACATACTTGGGGGGACCTCACTCACCGACCCACCTCTTCCGACCCCCGAAAAGACCCCTTCAACCCATCATGGTGTCACTCTGCAGGCCCAGCTGGATGGGTTCACATCGCTTCGCACCAGCGAGATGCTAGCGAGCTTCGAAGCTCCCGCTGCAAATAGCTCCCACTGCAACACAACATGTTTGTTGCCACCGTCACATTCCCCACAGAATAACATTAACCGTGAACATGGACCCTTGTAAGACCATTCTCATCTACCACCCAGTGGTTTTCAGGGTCCACGTTATACTCTGCAGGAGAGTATACTCTAACTCCATCTTCTGTAGCCATCCGAAACTCATCGTAGCATATAGCGACTACTATCAACAATCGGTCCTTCCGAGAGGATCCATGGAAAGTAAGCTTTATACTACCCCTTGAAAATGACCCCCCAAATAGGTAACCCTTCAATACGCGGAGTGACTCACGGAGTGGGACTGGGCTTCGTTGAGTCGGATGAGCGTGACCATCGGGTGAGGTGCGATCCCAAACGTCTGGTGTTCGAAAAAAACCGTCACCGCCCCCTCCAACAAACAAGGGAAGTGGACAAACCATGACAAACCTCTTTTGTTTGTAGATGATTTCATGGGAGCACGCCATGTTCTTCCAATGATTGTTGAAGGGAGTGTACTTAATCTATCTGCAGGTTAAACTCATGCAATCCACTGAAAGTATGGCGTCTCCAAAAATACTCCAAAAAATAGCCACTCACTACGAGTAGCATGGATTTGCTCGACTCAAGGAATTTGGAAACTTTACAGTAAGTTGCAACCACTCCCAGAAAGGGAGCAAATAAAGCCACCCCACGCCCCACGCCCCACGCAAAGCTGGAGATTGAAGGATGCCACATGAGATCCACAAACAATTCACCCTTTCCAATTGAGGCTTGCTCGCTTAACTCAAACGCCACGGCTATTATACTTTAGTTCGCTCAAATCGATCCGATGGGTCCTGGCAGCCCTGCTTTCACAAGGCACATGCAATTGGGATGATAGCTGACCATCGATTTCAGTGTATTCTTCTTGGGGGGCGCACCGCGGTTGACATCAAACCATATCAAACCAAACCACGCGGGCTTCGCACTACCTCACCTCTTCAACTTCAGCACCTGTCGCGGGCATCCCCCGTCGCCTGCGGCTCAGGCTCTCAGTGGCTGCCGAAAACCCAAAGGAGAGGTCCGGTCCTGCAAGATGAAACATGATGAAAAGGAGACAGGCGGTTGCCGGAACGTCCACTGATTGCACCACCCAAATGGAGCTCCAAAAGGAAACCAAGTGAAACTTAGAACCTGAACATGGACCACTGCTTGTAAAATGGACCAAGCCACATCTTCGAGTCCTGGGGAGTGAGCGAGGACATGCCGAATTGGACTCCTGACCCAATCCGCAAAGTAGGTCATTCCAAGATGCCCGTCACTCGGAATCAAGACTCCCGACCCGGACCGCGAGGACCGACCGGGATTTGGGGATCTGATTTGGGAGTTTTCACGAGTGACCAGGCGTGTGAAATCTCACGCTTTCCCCAACTATCATCAACTATCAACGTTGGTATTCTTCGCTGCTGGGAGGTTCCCATGATCGAACGAGATGCAAGAGTCGCAACTCGCAAAAGGATCTGACTGTTCCCTGGGGCTCTAACCATATCCTCAGAAGGTGGTTAGACACCCCAAACCCACCCCAACCACCTTCTCAGGAGGTAGTTGGAGCCCTAGGGGTTCATCCAACTGCACCGTCTCCTCCACTCATCGCCCCAGTCCCGCGTCTCGAAGGCCCGGGTTTGGCGAGGCCTGGTCCTTCACATCATCTTCACGGAGGCTATGGAACGGCTCAAAGGCTAGTTCAAATCCCTTGCAAGAAACTATAGTGTGCTGAGTTCCCTTGCAGTTGCCAACGAGCTGCATTGGTCCGGATCTGAAAAAGAGGCTTGCATTATTTTTGCCGTGGATGTTGGATGCGCATCAAATGATGACGTGCCCCCTCGCGTTCTCATCAACGCAACAGATGCAAATGTTCGGTGACACCTGCCGGGCTGTTTAGCAGCAAGCGATGTTGTGGTGTGCAACACTGAGGGGATTAGACAAATGAACGACTGTGCAAAGCACATCAAGTATACTACCAGGGCCCCCTAAAGGGAGCTATAATTAGACACTCCTTAGGGGGCCCTGGTATTACATATCATGAATCTATGCATTTTCAAGCATTTTCCCTGTTTGCAGTAAGATGCGGAGTGGCTGAGGGCAATGACTGGCAGTTTCAATGGATGTGGTTCCGTGGTTGATCACATGCGCTGGCAGAGTGGCTCATGACGAAGCCAAAATTAAGAAAGGCACATCAAGGCATGCAGACAAGATCTGTCCAAACCAGTGGGAGAAGCGACCCAGTGGTTGGGATATTCATCGGAGGCTTCAATCATCCTGGCGCCCAAGAGCTCTGATGTCGGCACTTTGCTGGATGCTTTGGTCCGGACTTTCGGCAAGAGAGTCATACAGATTTGCAAGACTTTGGCAGCCAAGATCAAGGCTCTGCATGTGGTTCTCACATGGAACAGGGGTGCTCTTGCACAACAAAAATACCAACTGTATAGAACTGACTTTGCTCTGCACAGGTTCGGTGCGAAACATCGTGGGATTGTCGTGTGTTTGTGGCTTTGCATGTCGTCCGATGTGTTGTTTGGGGGAGTTTTCCCCCAAACAACGGGAGGATCCGGTCGCTGCTTCACCCTCTTGACCTACACAGGGCAAGCGTCCTCGGGTCTAATTCGGGGAAGCGAACTGGCCCATGTGTTTCAGCGAGCCCAGCCGCCTTCAGCGAACGCGTTCGGCAGAATCCACTGACATCTTCGTCGCCAAGGAGCTGGGGCTTTTAGGATTGAACACGTGGAACACCCGCCACGGTGGCGGACTCTCGCCACGGGCTCCGTGAACAGCCAGCGCCAGCTTCACCATCACCTGCCGCGGTTAGTTTATGGCGACTCAAAAAAAAGACGGATCGCGGCGACTGAAAACAACCTGGACTCTCCAAAGTACTTATATAGAACATATAGGAGTGACATATGACCTTAATTGACAAGACATGGTGTTTGGTATGTGTTTTGTTGTTCATTTTTTGGAGGGTGCCTGTGCATGTCACAAACAACATGTTCTGCGTGTGTTTTCAAGCATGTCATAGCGTGTCCACTGTGCACAGTTTATCTGTCAAGACGTTCTGTTCAAAGTCACCACTTGCAACGCCTGAGCATTAAAACACAATGTATATATGGTGTTCCTTTGGGCGTCGTGTCATCTTCTCTCTCTGTGAAATCATGGCACCGCATGGATGGCCCTGCCCCCTCTGAACAAACTCCTAACAACTCTGCAGTAATTGTTCGGGGTCCATGTTGGCCGGAAAGGTCAAGCACCATATTCATAACATTTTCCCAGTTATATAGTCCCTAGGGCTCCAACTATATCCTCAGGTGGTCAGACCCCCCTGGCACCCACCCCTGTCCCATCTTCGAAACAGAGGTGGGCCAGGAGCCCAAACGGGAGCGTATGGAGCTCACCTCGAGTTGGTGTCATTCACCCCCGCAAGACGTGAGAGCTCGCCGATGAATTCTCCGGTGTTTTCTCACGAAAAAATGCCTCCGATGCATCGACCATGGCCGAGGCACCACAGGATGTCACAGGGCAATCGAAATGATCGACAATATATCAATCGATGGGTCTCAACTGAGTCTCAACGACCTAATTACCTCTAATTACTTCACCCAACATGCTGTTTGAGCCCAGTGGATCCCAGGACCAGGGTTCGTTCGGTCTATGGCTTTAGTCGAACTGGAGCCACTGGTTACCCACGAACGTTCGTGGTTTGCCTGGATCCACTGGTGACCGTCCATCGAAAAAGCCCTCCTGAGTGCCTCCTGAGGTGCGGAAAAAAAACGCTCTGAACCGTGGGGCCCAGTCCCATCCTCCACCCCTCCTGTGCAGCGTGATCCACTGGAGTGATATCGCACTTGAAGGGCGCGCTCGGTGCGCAACGGAGGCGGGCACAGGCGGTCAGAAAGCGCGTGGGGAAGAAGTTCGGCCACACCGGAAGGCCTGCAGAACAGCAGGAACAGCAGGAAGCTGGTGTGGTCACAAGTACTTCAAGCAATTACTTCATGACCACTTCAGCAAAGGACCCGTCGCAAGTACGTTCATTCATGTCCTTATTTGGACTCTGGCCGCTGCGTTGAGGTCAGGCTACGTTCATTCGCTCTACGTTGGGGTTCCCGCACCGTGCACCAACACATCGACGGAACGGCTGCAGAGCATGTCGGTGTCCCACCTGTGCTGGAATGGGCCCAGAGCATGCCAGGGCGGAAGATGACCCCTGCGACGCCGCACGCGAAGGCTCGGTGCACATAACGTTCCGCTGCCAGCTTGGAGAGCACATAGCCATTGGACAGGACCTGCGTCTCGAGCCGTGAGCCGTTAACTTCAGCCTCCCGAGCTAGACGTATTGGTTGGAGGGCTCCATGTTTTGTGGCCAACTGGGAAATACTCAAAAAAACATCACAGGTCCATATAGGAACACCTGGATGAATCTCACTCCGCATGTAGGCTTGGTCATCAATGACGAGACACTCTTGGTTTAGTTGGTGCAACTGCAACTACGTGTCTCAGTCAATGGTTTGCGCTTCCCAATGAAGTTGTTTGTAACCAAACATGCAGAGGAATCAAGCAGTGAAGTAAAGGAAGCTCCTGACATCAGGTAACTCTAAGTCAGACCGCCAAGCCTTTCTTCCCCTCGGGATCCAGGTCTATACCTTCTCAGGTTCGGTACGTACGGTACGACTGCACCCTCCTGGCACCTACATGAGAGTGTCGAACACATCACCGTACCTGAGAAGGTAAGTACTTGGATCCCTAATATAGGGCTTTTATACCAGCACCCTCCAACAGGTCTCCTTTGGAGGGTTGTAAGGCCCTAAGAGGTCTCAATTGTTGACCCCTCTCCTGCAGGCCTTTCACGTCTGGGCATCTGTTCCGTCTCAGGCCTTTCGATGTTCGGCCACGCTCGTCCGTACCCACGGCCCGGTCCCTTCGTCCGTTCGGCTCAGCGACGACGGACGGTCCCCGAGTGGAGCTTTGCAAACAGGGGGGCTTTCCGAAATGAGCAAATCCCAGTGGCTGAGGTCACGGCAAGGTCTTGAAGAGGTCACTTAAGAATAAACATCCCGAAGTGAAGACTCACATCACTGAGAAGGTGGGAGCGGCTCACGTCTCTTCAATCCTTCCTTGGATCATCACCCTCCTAATTGGAAACGAACCTTTGACATCCTTTGGCCATCTTTGAGCAAAATCAATTCAACCCTAACTACCCATGTTGGTGCAATGCTACCAAACAAACATATCACATTACTTAGCATTCAATTGGCGCGCAACAAAAACACGGAAGATTCACGGCGCCTCGGCCGTGCCGACCCTTCACGGCCTCACACGACCTGTGCCGAGTCGCCTCTGGCGACTTGAAGCTGCTCTCACTCTGCTCGGCCACCGAGATGGTGGAAATGAAGAAAAGGGGGGCGCCTGCCGGTCGGTCCAGCTCGATGGTCCAAGGTGAAAGCCATCTGAGATGGTGACCTACATACATGCACCTGAACGGTCACCTGATAACTGTTAGTTTTTGTGACGATGATAAAAAAGAAGGATCAAAGTCCATCTGGGAGTCTATCATGGTCCTCCACTCCAACAAACATGGGCAAATATTGTGCAGGATGTGTCTCAGAAGGTGGTGGCCCGGCGGCCTTGTTCCACCAGTTGGAGCGGTTAGAGGACGGCAATCAAGTGGTGAACGCCAAATCTCCGACTCCACAAATGGTCAGCGAGTCAGAAACAAAGGCAACAGGTTTCGTACATTACATATACCACGGCCATACCTGGAAGAGGAATCTCAGAGTAAGTAAGAGGTCGAGTGACTTAAGTTTGCTTAAGCCTTCAGTTTCCTCTCTTTGCTCGGAAGAGGAAACGGATCTCCGCAAACTCTCTTGCTTTCTTGAAGAAGCATATGCCAGCACCTTGCCAGCACCGTGTCTCCGAATTCGGAAGGCCCAAAAAACGACTCGCGCATCTTCATCGAAGAACCCCCTTTTTCAAGGGCAGAAACTCAACGAAGCCGTCGATCCGACCGCCGACCGCCTCTTTCGGCGCACAACTGAACGATCTGCCAGGTGCCAACGACATTACCTGGCCCACTGGGATGGGCGGCGCCACACCCCCAAGCCGAGACGCACCGGAAAGACGAGATGGAGAAGACCTGGTTGTTAACGGCAGGTTCGCTCCAAATCACGGAAGCTGGGACTTCTACACCCCCCCTCCCTTCAAAAATTGGCGAACCTTCTTCTCAAATTGTCAGTTTACACTAGGAACCTTGCCAGGTCATCAAAGAGCTGGCAATTTGCTTCTACGGTTCATCTTCACTCCACCTGGCTAGACTTTCACGTTATAATATAGTCCAATCTATTTGCAAGTGAGTCTTTTCCAAATGGGGAGTGAGTCTTACTCCCTGCCCGTCCATACTTCGTTGCACCTGATGGCCCAGGAATGCCCAGGTAGGCACTGAAAGGACTGTAAGTCTGATGATTTAGATATTCAAACCTCAAGGACAGAATGTCTGATGTTTTAAACATCCACAGAGGCAGAATGTTCTCATGTGTTTTCAGACAAGTCTTTT